CCTTCATCCAGGATGGAATATATTTGTTTTATCTTAGGCTAATAGTCAGGTACACTCCTGTTTTTGAGGTCATAAAGTTCAACACATCATTCTAGTGGTTTTTTTTTTCCTTTCTGTTCAAGGTATGTTGGGATGTTGCTAGACAACTTGGCCAGCCTTACCTAGGTGCCATCAAACTGTTTACAGACCACAATGGCTGCTATCATATCAAGTTACAACTATATGATTTCACTGTTATATCATGACACCTTCATTCCCTCTTATTCTTCCTCCTCAGATAGCAAGTAAGTTCCTTTTAATCTGTGGAGACCCCCAGCTTTTGCTATGCACCCCTACCCTTTTCTTCTTCCCTGCCCATCTTGTGGATGGGATTTTCTGTACCCATAAGCCATGTTCCCTGTACAGCCCCAGTAGCTACCACGCTGTGCTATAAAACCACTTTCCCTGCACCTCTCTTGCCATCCTCCATCAAGGTAGTCATTAACAGATGCACATCCATGGAATGGATTAGGTATTTGAGTTGTAACATATTACTTAGTAATTATTCAATAGGTATCAAATGAGTAGGTGAACAAAGGCCCAGCCATTAGCAGCATCAATTGCTTGGTATTGCTTTGTCAGTACTAGATTTTATTCATGTTCTCTTAATAAAAATAACAAATTTGCATTACCACATTGAGTATGGACTGTCTTCTGTGTTTGCAATTTGGGAAGGCAAAATAAAACCTTGTTATTTAAATGTGCATTTTTATTATAAATGAAATTTATTTTTCCCTCAGGATTAATCATCATCTATATGTCTTTATGGAATCATCTACTTTTTGCCCTTTTTTATATTTTTATTAGCATATTCAATTTTCTGGTTATTAATAAAATTTCTCTGGACAATAAAAAAAAAAAGAAACCTGCCATTTTACCTTTCAGCCACCAGATGGGGATGTCTCCGAGTCGCGACTGAAACCACTGTAGGCCTCAGGACAAATCCTGTTTTAAAATCTGCTCTGTTATTTGTTCAAAAACTGGGGAAAATGAGTCAATTGAGAGGTCAGATGTACACAGAGAGAAAATCCAGAGGCCAGGCACAGAGCACAAAAGGTCAGAGAGCTTCTAGTGGCCAATAAACAAGGCAGCCTGGCCTACCCCGGCCGGGCTCTCCTGCCCTGCCGCTCTGTTCAACCCGATGCAGAGGGTCGTGACACAGTCACTGCGCTGTTGCTAAAGAGGCCTAGTGCTTTGGGCCCCATGTCCCTGTGCTGGGATTAAGGGTCAAGCTGCTTGCAGCGCTCCCAATCAGTTATGGCGGATGGCAGGGGTTTCAAACAGCTTGCTTGAACTTCAAAGGGAGCTTGCGCTGTGAGCTCTTTGACTCACGTTGCAAGGAAAAATTTAAAAATGTGTGCAGAACAGGGCAAAGTAGGCCATCAGAGACTGTCCAGACCTGTGTATTCTGGGAGGCGTGGAGGTTATGACTGAGGGAGGGCTCGTGCCAGGCCGAGTTGGCCAAGCCAAGCTGGCGGCAGGTAGCCAGTCAGAGGCCGAGCTGAGCCGGGGGGTGTGGGGTGTGGGGTGGTTCTTAAACCAAACGCTGAGCGCCAAATAATGGTGAATCAATCCCACACCAGTTATGTTTTAAAGGGGCATTTATTTTGGGGCGTAAACTTACATGCACATAAATCGTCAGGAAAGGAGCCTAGTCGCTGGAGCAGGAGCCGGAACCAAGAGGCCGAGAGAAGCTTGCTGCTCTTCTTTTAAAGAGAAATATACCACGCCCCAGTGGGCTGGTATTTCAGCGGCTATTGGCTGACGGAGTGGAAGGCACTCCCGCAGCACTGTGGGCTCGTGCTTCAGCGACTATTGGCTGAAGCAGCGGAAGGTACTCCCGCAGCAATAGTCAATGTCTAGAGAAGTCTTCCTACAAGAAGGAATGATTACAGGGCCACTCCAGAATAAAGACTCTTTGTTGCACACATAAAGAATACTGCAGCTGTTTATTTTTTCACCATGATTTCTACGGTTCTTTACACGTACTTTTTGCTTTAAAAAAATGTCTTTAAAAGAAAATGTCTTTTTCTTTGGTTCTGTAGGAACTTTTGATGTTTTACTACTTTCTCTTCATTTTGGAGGCACTATAAACATGTTAGTTATTACTGTTTATTTCCTACCAGTCTAAGCTATCTGCACATTTCCTGAAGTAACTTTCAAGCTAGGGGAGGAAGTAGAAAATATAGGGTGGATGGATGGCACATAGTCGGAGGAATAAAACTAGAAATCTAACTCTGCTTCATTTTAATTTTATAAGCCAAATAAAATATATGCGTAACTTCACAGACACTGAGTTCCATAACTCCAGCACAAACTGTATTTTTAGTTTTAATTCTTCTCTCTTCAGCTTTCTATCATTCCAACCCACACACACCATTTCATCTTGAGGCATCCTGCTCATCATTAGTAAGATACTTTTACACACCCTTACTTTTCTCAAACATTTCTCAGCTTGAAATTTCCTTCCCCCTTCTCACCTGCTAGGTTTTCAATTTACTTAAATTCTAAATCCAGTAATAGTTATCTCTTTTTCAAAAAATGCTTGTGAGGTGCTGGAGAGATAACTCATCAGTTAAAAGTGCACACTGCTCCTGTAGAGGACCGAAGCTTACTTCCTAGCATCCACAAGCACCTCTAACTCCACCTTCAGAGGACACGACACCTATGATGTCCATGGGCACCTGCACACACATGCGTAGATATACACACATACAGATAATTAAGAACTATATATGTCTTTTTTTTCTCAAGTTTCTGAAAAACTCCTCCCTGTAAATAGCTGTAAGTTTTCTATAGCATAATCTTTGGATTTTGACTATATAATACTCAGTGTGCAACCACTTGTCTTTCTACATCTATTTGCCTACTTAAGTTATGATGCAAATGGCAAGGGTGGTATTTTGTATTGGAGTATAGAACTCATCAGACAATGGGGTCTCAAAATACTTAGAATTACCATTATTTTTTGTTTCTTTAATGCACTTCTGAGTATTATGCAATATGTTTTATACAGAAACACATATAAAAATATTTACATTATTATATAATACTATTTTGGTGAACACAGCTAACGTTATTGATAAATTTCTCTGAAAACACAGTCCAATCAAATAGGTTTGATTTAATATGTAATACCTAAAATTGGACATTTTATAAATATAAAAATTCTCATTCTTATTGCTAGGCATGGTGGCGCACTCCTTTAAAATCAGCACTCTAGATGCAGAGCAGGCCGATCTCTGTGAATTCGAGGACAGTCTGGTCTACAAGAGTTAGTTCCAGAACAACCAGAGCTGTTACGCAGATAAAACCTATCCCAAAAAAAACCAAACCAGAGCAGCCCTCGGAGATCCTGTGGATCTGTGTCTTGCCTCAACAGTGTTTGGACAGAACAGACCCGGGGCCTACCTTTGTTAGCTTCCACCTCATCTGCAGGCGCAGCCTCCGGGACCATCTTATTGCTGCCTTCAGCTCCCAGGGCCAGCCAGCACCGTCTCTTTGCGGGTAGCTCCAGACTGCATTTCAGCCATGACCTCGCAGGTTCATCAGAATTATTCCACCGAAGTGGAGGCTGCCGTGAACCGCCTGGTCAACCTGTACCTGCGGACCTCCTACACCTACCTCTCGCTGGACTACTATTTTGATTGGGATGACGTGGCTCTGGAGGGTGTAGGCCACTTCTTCCGCGAATTGGCCAAGGAAAGCATCTCCTCAAGTTGCAGAACGATCATGGAGGCCATGCACTCTTTCAGGATGTGCAGAAGCCAACTCAAGATGATTGGGGTAAAACCCAGGAGGGCATGGAAGCTGCCCTGGCCTTGGAGAAGAACTTGAACCAGGCCCTCTTGGATCGTCATTCCCTGGGCTCTGCTAGCACAGATCCTCATCTCTGGACTTCCCTGAAAACCACTTCCTGGATGAGGAGGTCAAGGTCATCAAGAAGATGGGCAACCACCTGACCAACCTCCGCAGGTTGGCTGCTGGGCCCCAGGCATCTCTGGGCGAGTACCTCTTTGAGCGGCTCACTCTGAAGCATGACTAGGAGGCCTCTCCTTCCGAGGGGCTCCCACCTCTGCTCTGCACCAGCCAGCCTCAGGATCTTCACCCCAACCTCTCAAGAAGTCACTGGGCAGCTTTGTAACGCCCGGGAGCCCCTCTCAAGTCTTGGACCAAGTTGTTTTTTTTAAAAAAAAAAAAAATTTTAAATAGAAATTTATTTTCTTCTGATTCTTCAATTTATTTTTAGACACAGTATTAAGAATTAACCATTCTAGTTATACCATTGGTTAAAAACTGTAATTTTCTTTCTGGAAACAGATCAGCTGTTTAACAATCTGAGTATGCGCTGAGCTCTATGCTACTCCAAGGACAATGTCCCCTCCAGGAGCGCTACACACTTACTACACATCATAATACAGTATTAAATCTCCTGAGAACTTCTTTTTAGTGTTAATATCACATTTATGATACAATTTAAAAACTTATTTCTAAGAAAGGCAAATTGGGTTTAAAAAGAATTGCATCATGAAATACAACCAGCTAGCTATTAAGGGTCCTTGATCAGCATCCCCAGTTAGAGGGCCAGCTATGAGCACAAAGAGAACAAATAGGAAACTCACTCAATGAACACACTGTCCTTACCTTTCTGAACGCTCTGGGAAAAGAAACTCATAATTCTTACTTGAAAATGTCATATGAGAGGAGTTCATCTTCTCAGAATTAACTTTTTTCTCAAAAACCTAGAGGAGTAAGAAAGGAAAAAAATTATAGGTACAATTTTAGGATAATATAGTTAAAAGAAATATGGTTGCTATTGTCTTAAACATAGTAAGATCTTTAATGATTGAATTAAAATCATAATCACCCAGTATTATTTAACTCTAAAAACATCACTTCAATGTACATTCACCTAGTAAATACTTCCAATTTTCTAAAACAGAGTAGATTTTTAATACCATTAAATAATTAGTATTCACCAATCATATATATTTATTTGTGTATAAATATTTTATTTTAAATAATTATAATTAATATTTAATACATTAAATACAAAAATACACATAGACTACTCAGGCTACCTAAAGTTAATAAAAATTAGCTTCATTTTAAAAAAAATTATTACTATAGGCTTTTATGTAAGTGCTTATGACATTTTTATATAATATGAATATAAAATTCTTAATACTACATTTATCTTTACTTTAGTATTTTCAGTAATTCTACATGTGTCCTCACCATGAAATCTTGTACTGCTTAAGGGAAAAATTGTTATTCTTCTTTCATATATTTGTATCATTCTGTATTGTACCTGGCTCACTAGTTGACAAAACTGAATTTAATTAGAGGGATAAAAATCACATAAAGATACCTTTCAAATCACACTTTAAAATAGATAAAATAACATTTTTAAAGACTCAAACTATTCTAGAGGCTGGTGTGAAAGCTCAGGGTTTAAGAACATCTGTTGTTCTTTCAAAGACCCGAGGTTCAGTTCCCAGCATCCATGCAGCAGTTTACAACCCTATAACTCCAACCCTATCAACACCTCTTCTAATGTCTATGGATACAAAGCATGTGCAGACAGTCACATACATGTATGCAGGCAAAACACTCATGCATAAAACAAAATAAATAAATCTTTTAAAACTATTTTAAAGCAAACTATTCTAAATGGCTGAAATTCAATCTGAAGGCTCTATCATGTCTTTGATTGAACAAAATGAGATTAGCTAACAATGCCAAGGCAAAAAGAAACACAATGCCTTATTAAGACACTATGTCTTTGGGCAATTGCTCAGTGAAATCAAATTAATAGCCAAGTAAAGAAAGAGCTGGGTAATTTTTTCTGAAGGTCCTAAGGTTTTTTTTTTTTTACACTGTACACAAGGATATCCTTGCTGGGCAAAGTGAAAATAGCAATATTAGAAGGCCAGGTCTCTGAGCCTCTAGAGCCACATAGCCACGACCAACTACTTCACCTTCATGGGTGGCAGTTTCTTCAGAACTGAAATGAGTAACAGACAAAAATTTATCCATCTTCCAGTATAAAATTTATTACACAATTCCTAGGAGGCAACATCATATTAAAAAAGAAAGCAAGTAGTTACAGTATCAAATTGTCTGGTAAAAATTAGTTAATTCCCCTTACATATTACAGAAACTGTCCAGGAATGTTATGAGATACTACTTAGAAGTAGGAAACATATCAAAAACCCTTCCTAGATGATGCCATAAAATTTAACAAAACCAAAAGCTAAGTCACGAAATATATTCCATTTTAGAAGGACCCAAGCTGAACATGATGGTATAAGCCTGTAAGTACACGTACACAGGAGATGGAGGCAGGGAGAATCAAGAGTTCAAAGCCAGCCTATGCTGCATAAGGAGACCCCTTTCAAAATAAAAATGTACACAGGAATCAAAGTTGTATAAAGATAACTTCTAAAATAATTTTTTTAAAAAAAGAGTTTGAACAGAAGTTTCCTGTATGGATGAGGATTTGAGAGCCAGGGCTGGGCTACTACTCCCCTACAAGTTGTTCAAGGAAGTTGCTGAGACTGCTAAAATAATACAGGCAATTGCCACTGTGGTTGGTTGTCACTACAACTAGATGGTAAAAGACACTAGTGTCTCTTGCTAAAGACATTCAGTCCTCTGGTTGTAAGACATACAGAAATCAAGCTATAACTTAGATGATTAGCCCTCATAGTGCTAGAGAAGTGTAATGGGAAGGTGCTGGGGAGGGATGTCCTCAATACCCTGCTGAGCCACAGACACTGTGTGCTATTCTTCTGACTGGTCAGTTAAGATGTGTTCACTGGTACAATCTCTTCAAGGAGTAGCTAACCACTTTCTGGACAGAACTAAGGACAGCTCCATAGGAGCAACTTCTGTTTTCATAAACCTGGTCAAAAGCCTGTGGCTGAAGAAGTCATAGACCCTAGTAGGGAAGCTACAGTTATGCTTTTGTTAAGAGTATACAATGTGCTCATCAATTATCTTCTCAATAATTATGTTTATTCCCATATGTTAATTAGTTAATTATGTGTTAATTAGTGTTGTTGTGATTGGTCATAGAAGCTTCATTTTTGCAATGGGCAGTAAAAACAGCAGAGTCTCATAACTGGCCAAAGTGCTAAGAGTAAGTGACTGTTGAATGTTTAGCCATAAATGGGACATTTATATCACAATGTTTTCCAAAACTTGAGGAGTGGACCACTGTAGTAGACAGGGCAGAAAGGACAGAACACTGTCTCCTGGGCATGGCACAGACATGGCACTCCTGAGCTCACAGTAGCTATGATAACCTGCATAAGACTGGACACTCGGCATCCTGCCATGGGAGAAGGAGTTTATAACAAGGCTCACTCTTCCTTGTGGATTTTAAGGGGTTTTGAATTTTTAAATTTATTTATTTTTACTGAATGTGCATTGGTGTTTTGCCATGGGTGCTGAGTTACAGACAGCTGTAAGCTGCCATGTGGGTACTGGGAATTGAACCCAAATCCTCTGGAAAAAGCAGTCGGTGTTCTTAACCTCTGCGTCATCTCTCCAGCCCCTCCGTGAGGATCTATTGGTGTTAAATGGTTGTTGGTACGGTGGTTTGAATGAGAAATGTCACCCATAGGCTCATCTGCACACTTGGTCCCCAGTTGGTGCTGCTATTTGGAGAAGTTATGGAACCACTAGGACATGGAGACTTGCTGGAGGAAATATGTCACTCGCGGCAGATTTTGAAAGTTTATGGCTTCACCCTACTTCCGGTTGGCTCTCTCTGTTTCCTATGATGCAGTTGAGAATGATCTCTTGGTTTCCTGCTCCTGTTGCTTTTACCACCATTATGGACATATATCCCCTTGGAACTCTATGCCCAAAATAAACTCCCTAAGTTACCTTTAGTCGTGATATTTTATCCCAGCAACAAAATAGAACCTTCATCTGGCGATGAATGGAGATAGAGACAGAGAGCCACACTGGAACACTGGACTTAACTCCCTAGGTCCAAACGAGAAGCAGAAGGAGGGAGAACGTGAGCAAGGAAGTCAGGATCAGAGGGAACTTTCATCCGACGATGGATGGAGATTGAGACAGAGTTCCACATTGGAGCACCGGACTGAGCCCCCAAGATCCAAATGAGGAGCAGAAGGAGGGAGAACATGAACAAGGAAGTCAGGACCGCGAGGGGTGCGTTCACCCACTGATACAAGGGGTCTGATCTAATGAGAGCTCACCAAGGCCAGTTGGACTGGAACTGAACGAGAATGTGATCAAACCGGATTCTCTGTGGCTGACAAGGGGGCTGTCTGAGAAGCCATTGATAATGGCACTGGGACTTGTTTCGTCTGCATGTACTGGCTTTTTGGGATCCTAGTCTGCTGTTTGGATGATCACCTTCCCAGACCTGGAGGGAGGAGGGAGGAACTTGAACTTCCCACAGGGCAGGAAACCCTGACTGCTCCTAGGACTGGAGAGGGAGGAGAGGGAGTGGGGGGAGTGCGAGGGTATTGGGAGGAGGGGAGGAAGTGGAAATTTTTATAAAATAATAAAAAAAGAAGTTTTATAAATAAATAAATGACATATGTTTAACTGAAACAAAAAACCAAAAAGATTACTGATACAGAAGTTTGTACCAGAGTGGGAGATTTCTGTGAAGAACCTGACCATATCCACTTTGGAAGGATATAGAGGACTTTAAAACTGTGGACTAGAAAGCAGAACACTGTAAACAGAGATGAACAGGCTATTCTTATTGGAGCCTACAAGACAGCAGCACTGAGAGTAATGCAGAGGGTGAAGGCCCAGCTCTAGAGGCTTCACAGAGGAACAAATACTCTATTAACACCTGGGATAGAGGGTATTCCTATGATATTTGGGCAAAGAGTCTAGCTGTCATCTGCCCATGTCCCTGAGAACTCACCTAAGACTAAATTTTAAAGTAAAGGACTGATCTATTGGGCCAGGGAAACTTTAAGTCTGTAGAACATTAAGTCTACAGAATGATTAATGATTATTCTCATATAGGTCTACAAAGAAAAGGAGCAAGTAAGGCAGAGAAAAACACAAAATGTACAGTTTAGAGAGGGAAAAGGAGTACTAGAAAGCTTAATGTTGCCCTGAAGCTTGTTATACAAAAGAGAATGCTGCTGCTAAAGAGATTAGAGTCATTAAAAGGAGAAACCTAATCTACACTGAAACAATGAGAAGAGTGCCTCGGAAAGATCTCACCTAGCTAAGCTTCTTACTTGTGGGGAAAAAAAAGCATAGAGATAGAACATAATCAAAATGCATTATGTACATGCATGAAAAGGTCATAATGGAACCATTACTCTATTTAATTAATATACGCTAATAAAAAAGAGTCTCCTTGGGACATTCTGTGAAGTTTCTCACTTTAAAATCATCTTTACTTAAAAAAAAAAATCATTCTCCGTACTAACAAACATTGCACTAAGCTAGAGATGCCAAGTCAGATGTGACGATGACCGTGACGTGTTTTCCTCACGTACAACGAAAGGGCAGACAAGACTACAGACTACAACCAAGCTACAGGAGTCTTTAAGCAGCACTCTTGCCAGCCGTAGGTGGCAGCAGAAGTCTGAAGGAAGGGGAAGAGGACAGAACAGGACTTGCTCATTGTACAGATCATACTGGAACTTCTAGGAGATGAAAGATAGGGCAGCACCATCATCAAAGTCCCCAAGCTCCAGTTGATTAAGAGGGAAAAAAATGCAGCTGAGCACAGTGATACATATGTAATCCCAGCTGAGGGAGAAGGAGTATATAGATGCAAGCCTTAGCTCTCTAGCAAGATTCTGTCTCTAAGAAAAATAAGAAGTGCAAAGCACCTATTAGCTTAAGATATACTTCCTTTCTTGTGCTGTAACCCTGGCAGCAGCTCCCCAAGAAACACAGTATGCTGAGAATACTGGTCTTACTAGACTCTTTGCAACCTTGTGTTTCTATAATTTGAAGACATTATATCAAATTGTTCCTATTGAAAAAATTCATCATCAGTGTATAAAAGTGTCCTTTATAATTTATGAGATTTTTACTTTGCACCTGGTAGTAACACAAAATAGCATGAATGGCAAAACAAGTAAAATTTATAGAGTAACAATGAAAGTAGTTTCCTTTAGATTGGTAAAAACAAAACCCTCCAATCTTCTCAATCCCTATTTTGGTCACTTTTAATATCAGAAGTATTCTTTTAAAATAAAACATAATTGTGGTATGAAAAAGTAAATAAATACCTATTCCTATAAGACTGAAGTGAAAGATCTAAGTACTACTACCATCAATTAGCAGAGAATCCTGCCTTTTACTTTTACCTTTTCTGTAGGTGTCTTTTTCTGACTTGATGAAGGTGAAGTCTTTCGGAAATTCTTGTCATTTGAATCATCCTCATCTTTATCATCTCTTCCTGAACAAAGAAGCAAGAACTTAATCAAATGAGAAGCCCTAAAAACAGCTGAAATCCTACTGAGAAAAATCTAGCTATGTGAAAGAACCTCACTTACTTTTCAAATCATCTTATCATTATCTTTTATTATTTCTTCCCCTGCTTTGAAAAACCAACACTGAAGAGTATTTTGCTTCTTAATATTATATTTAAGAAACTGGTTTCTAAGTAATTCCTTTTTTTCTTAATTGCCATACTATTCAATAAAATTTTCTTCAAGTAAAATTTAAGTATGTAAAACATATAGAACCTATGCATTGAGAGCTATAAAATAAAATTACTCTGTATTTCAGAGCCTATGAAACAGGAAGATATCTGTGAAATACAGCCAATCTGGTCAACATAGTGAGTTCCAAGACAATCAGGGCTACATAATAGAGACCATGTCTCAAACAGTTGAGCTAAAACAAATGGAACAAAATAATCATAGACATTTGAGAAAAAAGCCAAAGAAAACTCAAGATGGTAATTTTACAACAAATTAGTAACATTAATTTTTGCCATGACCCCACAAATGCGGGTGGGTTTTGCTGGGCAAGTGGCACCCTGCTGGTAAGTGCTTATAACCTGCTCTAGTAAATGATACAGCAGTTGGAAACAATGTGCAGACCCAATACACCTAGTTTTAATATCCTGCATATGTATTCTACAGCAGTAATTTAACCACAAATGAAAGCTATAGTTATCAACATGTGCTTCATAGCACATCTGTAGTAAAAGCTAAGAAAATACATGTGCTAAGTATGTCTATTATAAAAGGGAAAGTTAAGAATAATATATGTGCTAAGAGGGAAAAAGAGGCCCCCTAGTTTGTCCAAGTATAGAGGACCAGAAGGATTTCTAGAGTTGGAACTGCAAAGTCAGGAAATGACTGCCCTAAACAAAGTCGAGCTTATACCTCAAAGGCAGTAACTACAAAGATCCCGAAAAGCCCAAGCACCCACAATAAGAAGAAAAAGTTAAAGTCATTATACTTCCTAATTTCAAATTACTTCCAGAACTATAACTATAATGATCAAAATAGTATGATGTCAGCATAAAAACATACAAATAGACTAATGAAACAGAATATTCAACACAGTAATAAATCCATATTTTTACTGTCAACTGATCTTTGTCCTGGGGGGCCAAGAATATACAAAGAAGGCATGGTAATATACATCTAGCCAACCACCCATGTAGAGAGGTCAAAGACTCTAGAGGAGAAGCTAATGCTGCCATTTTCCTAAATAATAACAATATCTCACTATTCTGAATACTTAGCCACAGATAAGGTACCTCTTGACCCTCACCAAATAAGCTCTTTTTTGCAGCAGATAAAAACTACTAGATATCAACAACAGGTCATATTGCAGAGAATCAGTTAGCTGTGGGTGCCCAGCTCCAATTGGTGCAATAAAACCTGTACACCTAAGGCTCAAAGAACATTACTGAAGAGGGAGCTGAAAGATTATAAGGGTCAGATAATCAGGATGTGCTAGATAGTGTCCTCTAGACATGCTAGTCAAGTCAGGAAAGCTGCATCCATGAAATCTCAACAACAACATGGTTACCTAAATAAAACTACCATAATGAAGGTCCCACCCTTAAATCATGGGATATTGGCATCAATAGCTGTTAACAGAAGGAGAATCAGTGTTCTCCATGGATGGGCTCCCTGATAGATTACCTAATTCCAAATTATCATCTCTAAAGACATGTAAGAAAATTACTAAATGAGCTCAGGTGTCTGTGTCTGTGTGTGTGTCTGTATACCTGTGTGTATCTGTGTCCTGAATGGTTTCTGGTAAACATGACACAAGCTAGAATTATATGGGAAGAAGAACTTCAATTGAGAAAATTCCTCTACCAGATTGGCCTGTAGGCAAGTCTGTAAGAATTTTTTTTGATTAATGACTGATGTAGGAGGGTCCAGCCCATTGTGTGTGGTGCCACCCCCGGACTGGTGGTTCCAGGTTCTATAAGCAAGCAGGTTGAACAAGCCATGAGGGAAAGGTCAGTAAGCAGCACTCCTCTGTGCTCTCTGCATCTCAGCTGCTGCCTCCAGGTTCCTTCCTCGTTTATGAGTTCCTGTCCTGACTTCCTTTGACAATGAACAGTGATAAGGAAGTGTAAGCCAAATAAACCCTTTCCTCTTCAACTTGATTCGGTTATGGTGTTTTATCACAGCAGTAATAATACCAATGAAAACATTGGTGGTGGTGGTGGTGGTGGTGGTTTTATCACAGCAACAAAACCCTTAAAACTCATTCTCTTTCTCTCTCCTTACCACCCCTCCCATGTGTGTGTGTGTGTGTGTGTGTGTGTGAGAGAGAGAGAGAGAGAGAGAGAGAGAGAGAGATCATGAACTTGAGAAGGAGGGTAGAAACAGGAAGAGATGGAACTGGGAAGGGTAGGAGTGGAAATAATATACAGTACTCATGTATGACGTTTTAAAAACATAATTCTATTTAAAGAAAAGGCTAATCTCTTTAATAAGTGGTATTAGTAAAAATGGGGATCCACATACAGGAAAATAACACTCTACCCCAAACCAAACTAAAAACGAGTCAAGTCAAATTTATAAATATAAATTTATATTAAATCTTAATAAGACAAAGACTATAAAACCACTAGAGGAATAAAATTCTTGAAACTGGTTTGAACAATGGGTTTTTGATATGACATCAAAAGTAAAAGTAACAAAGGCAAAAAAAAAACAAGCATCAAACTAAAGTACTCAAAAAGCAAAACAAACAACAGAATGAAAAGGAAGCCTAGGAAATGAGGAGCTATTTGAAGTCATCTCTGATAAAGGGCTAAGATCCAAAGTATATAAGGAATTAAGACAACTCAAAAAGAAGGAAGACAAATAACCTGATTCTAAAATGGGTAAAAGGCTAAATTTAGACATCTAGCCAAAAGAAGAAATAAAAGTGGTGACAAGATATATGAAAAGGTGTTAAGAATCAGAGTCAGTAAGAAAATTAAAGTCAGAAGCACCAAAAGAGTGACCACGCAACTGCTAAGAGTGCCAACCACTGAAAAGACAGCGGATAACTAGTGTGCATAAGGACGCTGCTAGCTGTTAGTGAGGATGCATACTGGAAAGCCTGTTATAAGAAACAGTATGGCGTTTTCATACAAAACTTACAACTATCATAAAGTCCAGAAATTCCAACTGCTAGGTATATTACACACAAACTAAATTATGTAAATCTCTCAAAAGAACACATGCATTCCTGTGATCACTATCGCACAATTCTCAACAGCCGGGATATGGAGCCTGCCAAAGAAGAAACAGATAAACAGAATATGGTTAACATAAATATAATGCAATAGTCATCTTAAAAGAATGAAATTCTGCCATTTATAACATAGATAAACATATCCATGGACAGAGGACATTGTTCTAAGTGAAATAAGTCAGACACAGAAAGACAAAACTGCATTTATCTCAAATACAAATGAAATCCAAAATCACATGCATTGAAGCAGAGAAGAGAATGGTGATTACCAGAGACAAGTAGGGTGCTGTTGGTAAACGGACATAAAGTCTTATTATATAAAATGCATAAATCCTCAAGGTACAGCACTACTTCTATATTTTATGCCATCATAACTTAAAATTTGATACAAGTGCAGACCTTAAGTGTTCTTACTATACACCAAAAAAAATAGAGTGCACTATGCACTGGCTAGTTTTGTGTGTCTCCATGGGATCCAGATGTAAGTCATTTTCTCAACTAGGAGGTCCCAGCCCACAGTAGGTGGTGTCATCCCTGGGTTGGTGGTCCTGGGTTCTATGAAAAAGTAGGCTGAACAAGCCAGACTGAGTAAGCGAGGCAAACAGGCCAGTAAGCAGCACTACTCCTTGGCTTCCACATCAACTCCTGCCTCCGGATTCCTGCCCTGCTTGAGTTCCTGCCCTGACTTCCTTTGGTGAAAGTATAAGCCAAATAAACTCTTTCTCCCCAACTTACTTTTTAGTCACAGTGTTTTGTCACAGCAACAGAAACCCTAGCTTAAAACACTAGTTACAGGAAGTGCTGGATATGCTCACTGGCTTGTAGTAGTTATCTCACAATGTGCACTAATTCCAAAAGGACGACAGGACAGTGTGGACAAGGCAATAGAAAAGGAAGTAGGAGTGAAGCTGGTACAGAAAGAATAAATAGAGGAATACTAACAGCTGGGCCAAGGTTGGGTATAGTGATACATGTTCAGAACACCCACACCGGGGAGGCTGAGGCCGAGAACTGCCAATTCCAGATCACTGAATTAGAGATTTTGAGGCCAGCCTGGGCTAAATAGAAGACCCTACCATACAAAAGCTAAATGGGGAGAAGGAGGAAAAAGGAAGGGGAAGGGAGGTAGGAAAGAAGACCAAAAAAGGGCAGCAAGCTACTGACTGAGGCTAAAGAATGACCATGTGGGCCAGCTGAGACAGGTGACCTCTATACCATATTATGAGCCAAGGCTTTAGAAATGCATATACCTTGGCTTGTATCTAAGAAAAACTTTAGAAATAAACAGTTTTGTGAGAAAGTTGCAGGTTTCATTATCTTCTTTGCATTTTTATGGGGTGATGTTTTGTATAAAAAACTTGGTTTATGATAAAACATATTTGATAGAAGTAAAATCAGACTAAAATGCACTCCTTAGTACTTTGCATATGATGGCTTCTTAGATGGGTGCTCCTAGGGCCAGGGAATTGGCCTCTGAGGTTAACGAAGCCACAGTTGGTCCCTGTCCCTGGCTACAGCATGAGGCACAGCTCCAGTTGCTTCTATCCCCAAGTTCTTCTAGGTGCACAATGCATGAGAACCTACAAGACTCTTTTCTGACCTCCCTGAGTGAAGACATGTCCCCAGAGCCGGGATGAGATGGGCAGAAGGCTTCTGCAGAGAGATGCCAAGCCCTAGCTCCTGGAGTCAGGGCCAGTGTACAAGTGGAGCACTCTTGATCAAATACATGAAGCA